CAGTTAGGAACTTTTGTGATTCATCTCTCTTCAACTGTTTCAGGCACTGGACTTCATTTTGTACCCACATAACACCTACCACAGGACTATCATTAAGCCACTCCCTCAAAGTCTCATATCTCTTAGTTCTTATTAAAACTTTTAAATTTTTATTTTTCAGAGTCCTGCTATCTTCAGAAAATTAATCAAAGATGTTCACTGATATTAATCATCTTAGCCACTCAGACAATACAAGGACTCTATTCTAAAGGAAATTATAATGGAGAAGAAGATATATAACATATAAATGTAAAGAGCATTATAATATCTGACAGTTAAAATAAGTGTGAGAGGGTTCATTTCACTAGTTCTAAAAATGAAAATTGGTAGTTTACCAAGACTGCATAAATAGTGGTATGGAAGAAATAATTGGTTAAAAATAATTCTGTTAATAGTGGGAACTTCAAGTTCCAAAGTTGATTGCTGATATGGGAAAGGAGAAATGTACAGATCACATTTTTGGAGCAATCTCTAACACTAAACTAAAAATGATAGGGGATAGGTATGAAAAAAAAATGATGATTTGAGGAAAAGAAGAGTTCAACAATTATAGATACATGAATGAATTTGTATCATCTGAAAGAAGAGATCAAAAGCAGACTGATGCTTAAGTCAGGAAGACCATAGGGCCTTTTCACAGAAAACAGGAAAATAACAGTTGTTACATTAATAAAATTCAGAGACCTGATTGTTTTTAAAATGAAGTTCCTAACATTTGAAAACCATGTCACTCTTTTTAAGAAAGGAAAAATATGAATGAATGCTATAAGATCAGAAAGGAAAAAACGTGAAAGATTGAAAACAAGGTGGCTTCACATGTCGATAGTGAGTAAAAGTGGAATGGGGATGGGGGATGAGGTTCAAATAATTATAGCCAGAAAAAGAGTCATTGGATAGTAGGGAAATTGATAATAGCTAAGTACAAAATTTCAGAGAGTTCTAAAATTTTCCATTTTTATCTGATTTTTTAAAGTTCAATTATATTAAAGGAAAAGGGTCACTTTATCATAAGACCTAGAAAAAATGGATTATGAAAGAGGCATTCAAAATAAAATAGAAACAATATGCTTATTAATTTTATCTACTAGGGTACTTAACAGCTACTGGCTAGTTTAAGAATGTTTGTGGAGGTCATAAATTCCTGGAAGTCAAGGGAGAGTTGCTGGATTATCTGTCTATTAATCAAAAGGGAAAAGGAAGCCCTGGTAATTAAGGAGCTGTCACCTGAACTTCAATGCCCAGAAAGATGAGTACAAATCATCAAACAATCAATTTGCAACACAGAGAACTGACAACTGAGTAGGGACTGATAAGCCTTTCAGAGAACAATTTTGTTTCATGATGAAGAGACAGTAGGGTAGATAAGAGGGGCCTTAAGAGGTATAGACCACATGAATTTTAGTAACACACTTTCATCCTATATCAAAAGTTGTTTAACTGTTGACCCTAATGTTGCAGTCAAGTATATGATATGAGTACAGTCTTTAAAATCATTTGAGATAAAATAGGTTTTATTTCAGAAATTAAACTCTCCTTATATACTACAGATGGATGAGACACTTTCACCTACAATAAGAGAGGAATTCAACATCTTTGATGAATATAGAGGTGATTTCACCCAATTTTGCAGGATTGTAATGATATTTAACATTCTCTATGGTTCTCTTTGAAGCAGAACATCTGTGCACATAAAAAACCTTATCAAAAGTGCCCAACAGAGAACAAATCTTGCCAAAATAAACACTCTGATCTTACAATGAAGGATAAATTCAATCTTGGTAACCAATTTAGTTTATTGATATGTCTGACATAATTTCTTCAGGATGAATATTGATGAATATTATTATCAACTATAAAGAATAAAATAGTCTTCATCCCTAAATTTCATATATATTAACTTAGTACTCATTTTCTCAAAATTGAATGGCACTGTTTATTTTAACTAACCTGCAGGTCTCTGAAATGAGTTTTATATGTGAATTGCTTACAGCTTTCCAGTACTGATCACTGCTATAGTTTTTTTATATTTTTCTTCAAGGAGAAAGTGGTTAAAATTTTCATATCATAACAGTCATCAGAGCTTTAGAAATGTTCTTAGCTAAATCCAGCAGTTCAATACTTAAACATATCCACAAATGTTTGACAAAACAATGCCACAAAGTTACTTTGATAATCAGAATTAGAAATCAAATGTATAAATAAACAGCACTATAGAGAGCATTTCTTGCAAAGTGAATGTTTACTTTTTTACAAGGAGAATTATTAAAAAATAAAATAATAATGGCTTGCAGAAAGAACCCCATAAGTCTGATATCACCATAACACCTGTGTTCATCAAAAATAAATATGCACAATACAAAAATAAATGCCACCTTCCTGGTACGTTGTCCTAAAGTTAGGTATATTAATAAGTTTTCTGTAACCTCCCAGAAATATTTTATGCAGAAGAAATTCTAGTATCTATTTTATGAATTCAAATGCACTATTAAACTATGTATAACCTTGCTTTTAGTTAGTTTTCTTAACAATTATTTGAAATTATTCTATAATAACAGATTTAAATATTCATAATTTTATTGCTACTTATTTTCCCATGTGAATACAGCATAATCAATAAACCATATCTTAGACATTTAGATTTTAGCATTGAGTTTGCACTAAATAAAAAGTCTTATTATGAATTTACATCAAGAATTAACTAAGTCAAAAAAGGATTTAGAATTTGAGTTAAATTTTTTAAAAGTCAAAGTAAATATGAAAGTCTAGAAAAGAAACATAACCCAATGGACATACTTTAGAGTATTAAGTAATAAAGTATTGGAATAACTGAGATAATGCTTGTGAAATCCTTAGCTCACTGCTATAAAATAATTAGAGATGAAGCATGTTCATTTTGGAGGTAGTCTAATGATGGTCTCAGGAGATAAGTGTGAGAGCTTTACCATTGGACATGCAAACCAAGGGTAGCAGGAATAGTTAGGGGCTCCAGGAGATAGGAATGTGGAAAACATCCTGAAGGAAAGGGGTAAAATGTCCACTAAAGTGATGAAAGTTAGAAAAAAAATTATTTGAGGGAAGCTAAAGGCAAAGTGAACCTGTCCACAGGAGACTAGATTCTCCCTGCACTTTAAAGTGACTAATGGCCTGGGTGGTACAGGAAAGGGAAGGAATGAGACAGAACATGAGAACACCGAGAACCACTCACTGAGCTTATCAAAAATGTTGACACTTTCCATGGAGAATTCTTGCTAGCCATGTGTTTTCTTTATTCATAAACAATGGATAAGATAATAAAAATTTGTAATAGGTGAGGAAAATATGTCCTTTGAGATGAAAATACTATCCCTCCAAAGGGTTTTGTCATAGCATTGATTTCTCCTATTACACAAGCTTGAAAGCCATCTAGACAAAGAAAAAATGGGACAAGTTTCAACTAAGATTTTTACATTTTATAATAAATTTAATATAACATTAAATATATTTACATTATAATTAAGTTTTTATTCATCACTAGGGGTTCTTATTAGTCTTTGTAGAAAAATCATTAATACGCAAAAAGTTCAATCAGTTTGAACAATGTGAAAGAAAAATTGTCTAGTAATCAATTATAAGAAAATAGTTACTACATCTTAGAGATCTTAGAGACAGAAATATACTGACAAAGCCACTTGAAGAGTTCAAAGTTCCAAGCATGCTCAGGAAAAGCAAAAGTAATATTTAGAAAACTCTTACAGTCCAATGTCAAGAGTCATAATGAAATAAGAGTACTAGTCATGTGTAGCAAATATGTTATTCTAATTTAATTACAGTTCAATAATCTTTTTCTATGAATTTTAAGAACATATATGAGATATTCATATATTAACTGTATAATTTAAAATTTCAGGAATGTAACTTTTACATGATTCATATGATCACTCAGACATATATAACTTTCATTTGATAAATTTATATTGTAAGTTTGTTATAGCAAATATTTATCCCAGTAAGTTTAACTTTCTAAAAACATTTTAAATGAGTTCATCAGTTTTGTGATCACAAATTGATGTTTGTATGTAGTAATGCATAATGTTCTTTCTTTTTTTGCAGGCTATTCAAAATGGAGTGTATTTCTAACAGATTTGAATGCAACAAATCTGAAAACAGATTTGATTTGAATTCAAATTAAAAAAATAGAATGTGTAAATAAAGGGTTATTTTATGCTTTAAAAATTCAAATCCATAATACAAAGCCTCATTATCCTGCATTCTATAGTAATCACCAGTATTGGCACATCAAGGGACTAGTTTCCAACCAGTTTTATTGACCAGAGAGAGAAAATTTATCACTTTCTCAAGGTTAGGAGATTACTTAACAGTAAAATCAGTTATAGGAAGCAAAGAAAAAGAAACTGTCATAAACATTCTACACAGAGAGGGAGAAAGTAAAAAGTGAAAAAGGTACACCCAGCTATTTAATAGTTTCTTTCTCTCTCTCTCTCTCACTTTCTCTCAAAAGATCACTGTAGCATAGCTATGTTAATTTGCTGAAAATATCCACACATTAGGGAATCTTTGTAATTTGCTGAAAATATCCACACATTAGGGAATCTTTGTATGGCTGCTTATATTTCTCTAAATTTCTCCACATTCCAATACTCAGGAAGTTAAAAAATAAAATGCATGATAAATAAAACCAATTGACAGAAGATAAATGAGAGTAAATTCAAAAGATGGGATTCAGAAGGTGTAAGTCATAGGATGGGTAGAAAAGAAGAAAAACTTTCAAAACACCACAGGTTGCTATCATATTTTTTAAGTGTCAGAAAGGATCAGATGTTTTTTCAGGAACTAAAGAGAAGAAGTTAATCGGAAACGGGATGGAAAAGTTAAAACTGAAGTAGTCCACTCCAGATTCAGAAAAGAAAGCAAGGATGAAAAGTAGTAATTATGTTTTCCACAGACCACCACATATGAAATACCTTTTTACTACATCTTCTCCGTTCCAGCAGGGCAGTCCTTCGGCAGCAGCTAATTCATTAACGCAGAGCTGATCAGCCAGGTCACCGTAGAACGACCTGTACAGTCGAAGACTGTTGATAAATTCTCTGAATGGAAGAGCAAAGAAACCAATTAAAACCAAAAAATCCATAATGACGATCCACATTACTGTTACACACAATGTTTAGAATGCAACATTTTAATTTTCTCTACTTACTTCCATTTATTTATTTGAGTACTTTTCTAACAATCAAGAATTTTTTTTTTCTAAAAAGAATGCTAGGGAACTGCAGGTGTAACTCAAGCAGCGAACACCTGCCTAGCAAACATGAAGCCCTGAGTGCAAAGCCTTGTACTGCCAAAAATAAATAAATAAATAAAAAGAATTCTAACATTTGGATCTATTCTTTGAACAAGAATTTTCAGTGAAGATGAAAATTGTTCTAAGTAGAAGAAAGTGGTTGTGGATACTACATACGGTGTGCGTGCACACACACACACACACACCACTTCATTCAGCCTCCCTAAAATCTTCACTGGTGCTGGCTTCTAAACCTTGATACTAATTATCTTCCTTTCCATGTAGGAAATGTCAGAAGCTTACAACAGCCTAATTAATTGCTTACCGGTCAAAGTTTAGTAGATGGGTTATTATCTGGGTTATCTATTTTGTATCTAAAAGTACAAGGTCTTAATATGACCCTAAACCACAGCTGAGATATTTCAGAAGCGTGAAAATGAAAGTTAATAAAGGGAATATATATTTAATATATTAACTAAGGCTTTATTCCTCCCATACTGCTTCTCCTCCTCCTACAATTATGGAAGGAAAATTTCATAAAAATGCAAGATTTGCTATTTTTCATTTAGTAGGTCAAGACTTTTGAGTTGCACATCCAAGTCTTTTGAGTACAGAGAAATTCAGTTTTAGCATTTCAAACAAGTTCTAAAGAAGCTAGTTGAGAATTGTTTGACATAAAGAGATGATTTTTTGACAAAAAGAAATGACAAGTGCTAGCCTGATACAGAGGAGATGCTCTCTAGACTAGAAAAGAGGAGGAGATGAAACTTTGGACGGAAAGCAAACAGCCCGTTAGAGGGACAGAGCAGTTAAAATGTGACAGTTATGAAATCATATCCCCTGCTGAAATTTTGAAATTTAAATTTTAAAATAATTTTAAAAATTAGATCAGAAAGGGGCTATACTAAATAATAGCAGGACTAAAGTTTTTTTTAATTAAATCTGATTTTCACAGCACTGTTTATCAATTGTATTAATTTTATATTTCTCTTATTGATTATTAGAGAACTATTTGCAGAAGTTGCTGAAGTTGGCAGGATAGTGAGAAGGTAAATAGGTTTTCAAAAATATAATATCTGAAATCACATTATTACATGATTAAAAGGTATCATAGGAACCATTTGCTTTTTAGCAAAACTTTACCAGGCAAGTGATAACAAAAGGACTGTGAGAGGCATAAACCTTACTAACCTCTAACTTATGATTGGTAAAAAGCTTTATTTTCTTACTATCAGAGTAGTTGTATTTCATACTTACTACTTTAAATCATTTTCCTCTGCTAGGAAATAGTTCCCTAGTAGAATGCCTATATATAGCCATTCTCTGATGGCTATATATGGTGGAATTTAATGAATGGAAGGATATGAATCTCTTGCCCTAAGTTTTGTTCACTATTGATGATCATTTTTTGGACTCAAAGAATTTTCTAGAAAAGAAGAGACTAGGAACAAATGGATAGAAAGTTGAGACCTCCAAAACTGATGGTATAAAATTGAACAGAATTTTATGAACCCCAAATTACCCATTTCAATCTATTAGTTTTGTCACAAAGTACTAAACATTTTTGAGTACCATGCTCTGTGTAGGCACTAGTTATTTACAAGTAAACAAGAAAGGCTTTGCTTCTTTATGCGCTTTTTGGTGAAAATCTCCCATAAAAATAGTGCTGATAACGCCACATTTGAAGACAGGAGAAGAATCGGGAAATATTTACAAATAGCATAGTACTTTCATATTCCAGGTAAAGTAGACAAAACAAAACAAAAACCAGGATGGGCAAAGGTATGACAGAATCGTATAGATTTTAACTAGAGCTGATGAACTTGTGGGAGTGATTTGTGGTAAAAAATAGGAAGCTTTCTTGATCATAATGATATGTTTTGGTTTATACAGAAAGTTTGCCATCAAGCAAGTGACATCGTTAAAATGATAGCAAAATGGAAACAGAAAGGCAATGAGGCCATTTTAGAAGGCTGTGACCAAAATCAACAGGGAAAAAAACTGAGGATCTAAAAAATAACCTGCCTGGGAACATCGTGAAAAGTGATAGTTTTCAAAGTTTTTGGGAATCCAGAATTGACATGTAAAGAAAAAGTTTGAATATCATTTCTAATTGATTTTTCCCCTGAGATAATAAGGTTGCATCATTCACTGAGATTTTAAAAAAATGAAGGATGGTAAATAGCACCTTCTTAGTGTCCCATCCTATACTTACAATCACCCTCATCCTGTTCAATGTGTTCATTTTTTCTAGCCTATCATGTGCACACACATGCACATACTCACACACACATAGTCACACACATGTACTCATACACACATACACACACATACTCACACACATACTCACACACATACACACATACACACACACATACACACGTACTCATACACACATACACACATGTACTCATACACACTCACACACATGTACTCACACACGTACTCACACACATACACACACGTACTCACACACATGTACTCACACACACATGTACTCACACACACACACATACACACACGTACTCACACACACACACTCACACACACATACACACATGTACTCATACACACATGTACTCACACACACGTACTCACACACACATACACACGTACTCACACACACGTACTCACACACACATACACACACATACTCACACACACGTACTCACACACACGTACTCACACACACACGTACTCACACACGTACTCACACACACATACACACACATACTCACACATACGTACTCACACACATGTACTCACAGACATGTACTCACAGACATGTACTCATACACACATGCTCAGTCATTACACATTTTTGTTTCTCATATGTCTCCATACTCTAGAATGAAAAAAATCAGGCAGTCAGGGATTTTTGTTTTGTTCATAGTTACAGATCCAAAAGCAGTAATGGTGGCATATAGTAGATCCCATAAATAGTTTTCAAATTAACAAACAAGTAAAAACTAAAGAATTAATCATTGCTTTCTCAACTTCTCAGTTTGAGGTGTCTTTGGAACACCCAGATAGAGAAATCAAAAAGAATGCTACTTTTTAAACTTAATATGTATAAACATCCCCTGGGAATCATGCCAATATGCAGATGCAGATTTAATTGTTCTAGGATAGGGAACAAAATTCTACATTTCAAATACGCACTTACATGATGCTGATGATACTGGTGCAAGAACCATGAATACTGTGGAGGTTTGCTGTTAAGTATGAGACTTTCGAACTTGAGTGGATTGGACATGTGATATGGAACTCACTAATCTTAGAAGTTGTGGTTACTGAAACCATGGATATGGATGGAATTGCTCAGATTAAGAAAAAAGTCAACAGGACTCAAAAGTACAAAGAGTAAAAGAAGAAAAACTTCAGAGTTAAAGAGCTTTGAAAACTAAAGAATGACTGAATGTGAAGTGAGAGAGATTTTCCACAGTTGAAAATACCATGAGAATTTAACAAAAACACTAAGTGTCTTTTAAATGTGGTAATTATTATGGACTAAATTGTGCACTCCCCATAATTCATATGCTGAAACCTTACCTCCTAATATGATTGTATTTGTAACTGAGGTTATTAAAGAGATAATTAAGGGGGTCATATGGATGGATCCTAATCCAATATGACTAGTGTCTTTGTAAGAAGAAGACGTGACTGTCAGATATGTGTGCACAGAGAAAAGACTAGAACAAGGCAACCATCTGCAAGCCCAAGAGAGAAGCTTTGGGAAAAACCAAGGCTGCTGTCACCTTGAACTTTATCCTCCAGAACTGTGAGAAAATCAGTTTATGTTGTTACGCTTTCCAGTCTTCAGTATTTTTGTTATGGCAGCCTTACCAGATTAATACAATAATTAAAGCTTTAGAAGTAGACTGCAGATTTACAGGGCAATGAGCATTAAAAGAGTGAGAAATTAGAAGCAGACAGTTCCAGAAAGGGAAAAGTGAAGTTTCGTTTATGTGTATGTTTATTTGAATGTGAAAGAAATTTGAAAATATTTATCTTAGAGGAAATAATAAAGACCATTAGCTTATTCCCAAACTTTCCAATTGTCTGTTCTCTGGACATACAACTCCTTTGAAGTTAAATTTAGTCATGTGGCTTGCTTTGGCATCTATGACATGTGTACTGAAATGACATGTGCTCCTCACAGGCTGAACCTGGAAGATCCACTATGGCTTTGCTGGCTTTTGTTTTCCTCTACCATGGTGACTGGCAGTGTGTTACACGAAGGCTGCTCTGTGACTCTTAAAGCAGAGACAATTTCAGCACTAACACCAGCTGATCTGAATGGGCACAAATGTGAATAGGAACATGATTTTCTTGTTCTAAATCAATGACACATTGTGGTACTTGCTACCATATCATAAGTTAGCCTCTGTTGATTGACACAATAATAGGAAAAAAATTAATAGTTGATGATTACAAGTTCTGAAAAGTGAGAGGAAGGATTACAAAAATAAATAACATAGTTAGCTTTCTTTGAGCTTAAAATAAGGGAAGAAAGTTTGTGTGAATGTTAAGATAAATTTGGTTTGTGAAGGTAGACAATTGAGGAGAGATCCTACCTTGGATTCTGTTTGGATTCTTTTAGAGCTCAGAAGTTAAGAATAGTGTTTTAAAATTCAGTTGTACAGAAGAACCAGGGATCTATATTTGATATTAAAAAAATAATTGAATTGGTAAGAAGTAAAGCACTCATAGTCATAGTGAAATCAGAAAGACTTATCCACTACCGCAGAGTCAATTAATGTTGGTCCTATTATAAGAATTTATACCTCCCTTCCAGCTCAATGG